TAAAGAAATGCGTATCAATAATAAAATAATTGATAATAAGTAAACATAAAAACATTTTTGAAAAAATTAAACCAAAACCTATTCAACAATTTTAAAAAATTTCTACCACTTTGTTAAGCATAAAATCAATACGTTTTTTAACATTTTATCAATACTAACAATAATTTTAATTGTAATATAGCTCTGAAAACCACCATTATATATTTTGTACATCTTGCATGCTAAATTTAAAATAATAAACTGTACTTTTTATACATCCCCGCAGGAAAAGTTACAATTTCTAGATTGGGAAATTTAGCAGGACATGGGTCTTTAAAAATAAGTGTTTTATTACGAGCTCCCGCATTTTTACTCTATTATAAAAAGTATTATGCGAAATTAACCAAATTCATTTTTTTTATCGAAACAAGCTTGTCAAATTAAGTTAAACAGTACCTATAAAATATATTTTTTTAGAAATATTGCAACATTTAACAGTTTCACCATATCCGGTAGTTATCTTGATATTAATAATATTTAGGCTGGGTTTTTTTAATTCCTGATAAATTTATATACCATTTAAATCTATATCTGTCTCATAAAACATATTTATATAAAATAGTGGCAGACATAGACTTAACTGACAGTTAAATTTACCCGACAGTAAAGAGATATAGATATATTTTTATTTTTATTTTGTATAATTATCAATTGCTAGCTTTGTAATAGAAAGTACTGGTATAATTTAAAGCTAGGCGAAGTCTAGCCCATAGAGAAGTTATTAGGAATCTTGTCTCTGAAGTTATAGATATCGTATTCATACCGTCTTTTTTGCTATCAAGTATCACTATGTAACTTCATTTGGTAAGATTTTTTTGTGAAAATTTTTTTGATTTTATTTGAATTAAATTAATGTCGTTATAATAGAGTATAAAAATCAATAGGTCTTTGTCCAATCCACATAGAAAATTTTAATTAAAAGAACATATTTAATATTTTGTAATGGAAACAGTGTAATCAAATGACACCCATCTTCTAAATGTATGAAAAATGCTACTCTATTTTGATTACAACGATTTATATATCATAAAACGTATGTAAAATATGCGTAAACCTGACAAATATATATGTAAGCCCATGTATTTGTCTGAATTTTCCTCAAGTTAAATAATTTTAAAATGATTTACGTTTGAGATTAGAAAATCAACATGATATTACACGAAGCTACTCGGAAACTGGACGGTGTGTGTTGAATTTTGAGTTTGTCCGGATGAACTTTTAAAATGATTTACGATCCACATTAGAAAATCAGCAAGATATACAGAACTACTTGGAATCGTAGACGTTAAACACTGATGTTGAGTTACTAGCAGGATTTAATTTTTGAAAACAGTATTTCTTAATTATTATGGGAACTAATGGTAGTAACTTTGTCTACCTTAATAGAAATCTATTTTCTAAATCCGGACAGTGTGGTTTCATTTATTTGAATATCTTTAAGCAGGAAGGCGTTAGTTATATATTATCACTATGAATCTTTGCATTTTATGAAGTAATATTAAATGTCAAACCAGCAATACGTTAAGGACAATTTTATAACTGAGAAACTGAGAGAAGCGCAAAACGAGATAAAAAATATTCTGAAACTACATTTTATCTTGTGAATGTGGTAAGAAAGAAATATTAGACACATTTTGGAAAATAAAAAAATTTATTTTGTTAAAATAATAGGTAACTAACAGAATAAATGTTATGATATGTTATAACTCTAAATGTTATTCTTTTTGGACACTACCCTTATTTTTTTGAAAGTCTGATTTGCCAAATAAAAACGATTCTTTCCCATTTTTTCTGCATGAAGTTGAACCAAGTTTAATTTTTCAGCTGAAACTATTGTTTATTTGTTTTTAATATTTATTGCGACTTACCTATTCATGGTGATGAAAATTTTAATAACTTTGCAGTTAATTTGACATCTTGCCCACCTATGTTTTTGAAACCCGTAGATACTAATGAACTTCTTAGTATTGTAAAAAATAAATTAAAAAACAGGTCCACTGGTCCAGATGATATCCCGCTACATGTATATAAAAATTTGTGTCCCAGCATCATAAAACCCCTGGTTTTTTTTAAATAAACTTATCGTTTGAACGCGACTGTTTTCCATCAAAACTGAAACTGGGGAAAGTCACGCCCGTTTATAAAAAGGCGATTCCTTTTCGTTAAATAATTACAGACCAATATCGGTTTAATCACCGTTTTCAGAAATTCTTTAATATTCCTTTCTGAACACATATCATTCGTGAATAAGCAAAAAATTATAACAGAACATCAACATGGTTCTCAATCGGGAAAATCAACTAGTAGTGCCATCCACTCATTTTATGAGGCTGTGCTAGAGTCTATGGAGGCGGGCGAATGCCCTGCTGGGATCTTTTGTGACCTCAGCAGGGCTTTCGACTACGTCGACCACAGTATACTATTTAAAAAATTATCAATTTATAGATTACGTGGAATCTCATTAGATTGGATACGTTCATTTTTGAATAACCGGAGTCAATATGTTAGTCTTAAATATAAAGATTCTTCTAGTGTTTAGCACATAAATTCTAGAACACAGTGTATAACCATGGGTGTACCACAGGGTTCCGTGTTGGGTCCTATGTTGTTCCTGTTGTATATTAATTACATAACCACCATTGCTTCTAATATACATTTTACTGTATATGCCGACGATACGGATTTAATTTCTGATAAGTCTTCTTATGACATAGGTAGAGACTAAATGTAATGTTATACTTGATAAATTATATACATGGTTCTGACAAAAAATCTTTACTTTAATGTGACAAAGACTCATGCGGTCTCATTTCATAATCGTCAACTAAATTAAACCTAAATATAAATGACATTTCTGTTAATAATGAGTTACAGGTTTAATTTCTGGGGATTGAATTTGACAGTAATTTGTTCTGGAAGCCTCATTGTTTAAATCTGTGTTCAAAACTGAATTCATTCTGTTATTTATTCCGAAATTTGCGTACCATGTAACTAAGCAACTTATAAATCTGTATCATGCACAGGTTGGCAGCAGAATAAATTATGGTGTCTGTTTCTGGGGTGGGTCTGATATGCCTTCTGATGTGTTTGTATGTCAAAAAAGGTACTAATTGTAAGATGTATTTTTAATGTTTCCAGTTCACATTCATGTAGAGACATTTTTAAAAACTATTTTATTCTAACTCTACCTGGTCTTTTCATACTTGCTTTGTATAATTATGTATTTAACAATAAATCTAAATTTTATACCAACATGGAAATTCATGAAATTAATACACGACAAAAAATTTTTATATCATATACCATTTATGAGACTGCAGCTCACCATGAAATCACTAAACTGTCTGGGCCTTAAGGTATTTAATAAGTTACCTAAAGATGTAAAGACCTGTTGTACTGCTAAACTTTATAAAAAGAAACTAAAATCGTACCTAATTGATATGTGTCCGTATTCTTTGGATGAGTACTTCAGATTTTACTGGACTGCGATTTTGTTTTTTATGTAAACTATACTTATGTGATCTAATGCGTTGTTCATTTATTTAATTTAGATTATAAGTTATGTGTGACACAAATTCTTATACAGTGTAAAACTGACTATTAGAAAATGGAGGTATATATTATTATTGTTATTATTCATTCAAATATCAAAATTAAACTATCGTAACTATTGATAAAACTTATAATAAATTGCGAAATACAAAAATCATGTTACAGTTTAGACAATAATGTTTACGATATTAACAGTATCTACTACTAGAATGATTGTTATTAAATTAAGAGTAAGTACTAGAATTATTGTTCATTGTTTTATTGTTATTTGCAGCCATAGAATGCAGAACTAATGTAGTTTGCGTATTACTTCTGGGTATGATCACAACCAAAAAAGTCTACTGCCTTAGGTTAGAAATTACAGAGAAACAAAAAAGTCATCATGTACTTTTACCACAAAGTATATACCATACAGAGTGGTAACTTGATTGGTATAAGATACAGAAATTATGTAGAGGCAAGTCCATGCATTATATAGCGCTGTTATAATATTTTTAGTATTATTGTAAATCTAGTGTATGATATTTACATACCTAGAATAAACTTATTGTAACTTAGCAACATTTTATTTAAGAATTTAACTGCTATTTTCGGCGCTTCTGACAGATCTAATTATTTAATTTTGAAATTTCATATAAAGAGATTTTTCTAGATAGAATCAAGAATCGCTTCATATTTGAGTTAAACATGAGGTGACGCTGCCAAAATATTTTATTCAATCACTAATTCGTATGCAAATCCTTGTTTAAAAATAAATAGTTTTGTTAATATTCCGTCATTATTATTTAATAACTGATAGCCTGCACGATATTTACGTTATTGACAATGTTAATTTAACATAATCCTGAAAATGAAAAATCAGTAATGTGAAAAGCACAATGCTCAAAAAAAAGTTTATGGTCTACCCACCGGGAGCTCTGAAACTTTTAAACAAACTCAGTACTAGAGATTCCACTCTAATGTATGTTTTACCTTATGGAAAGTAGATAAACAAAATAAAAAAAACCTCAAATTTCACTGTAAATTTAATAACAAAAACCGACGTTTAGACTAATTACTGTCCAGTCGTGAAGAATTATCTATATTTTTAATGTGATATATTTCTCGTTCTCGCACAATGAGAATAAGTGGACGAGAAATGTTTGGCAAAACTAAATTTGTGAAATCAACCCCTTGGCTGATCCTTTTGGAAAGGAGTGTTGTTTTTTTGAGGTTTCTTCTTTGTAGTGTGACAGAAATATCCAATACAACGAGAAGATACCTCCATTTAAGTATTTTGTAAGTGGTTTATGTCTACTGTACTTTATTGGTGACCACACGGGAAGCATCACAGTACTTCCTAAATTAAAATACCGAAGGCCCAGGGACCATGTACATATAATTAACTTATCCATTGTCGTAATCCCTACCTGATGCGGGTAATAATCGGCCGCCGACCCTGCCAGACTATCCGCGTGATGAGACCGGATAATGTGATGTCCAAGATCCCTGCCCAGGTCCTGTTCGATGTCCTGGTGGATGTCCGGGTTCATATCGGGATGGGAAGCGAGGTCGTGATGGTGCTGCGGCATGCTCATCTCACCAGGAATATCCTGCCCATGTGCCTGCATCTCTCCCATACCCTGCATCTCACCCATCCCCACGCCCATCATCAAAGGGGATACGTGGGACTCCCAGCCGTCCTCCATCTTTGACGCCCACACTTTGATCTGCCCACTCGATTTGAATAACTCTATATGCGTAACCACAATTAATTAATTATGCGCAGAAGGACCCGAACGTTGTTGGTGGCCGGCAACACGCGTCCAACTTAAACGAAACGGGCATTATTTTATCTACGTGCGATAAAGTTTTTATTGTTCCTTAGCCTTCATGCTACAGGTGTCCGGGTTTATTGTTTGCTTTCGGGATCGCCGCGGCCGCACGGTTCTATTATTGTCCACATAAAAATAGTAAATGATTAGGGAAGCGCTTACTTTATTATTTTCTAGTCACTTTCCAAACGAAGCATCACTGAAGCCTCCACAGGATCATCCGGTATCACTAAAATCACTGTCGTGCGTTCCGACACTAAAATGCGCCTGTTGGAAGCGCCGCCGAGCGCGGCTTCCTGCAGCAGGCTCGCGGCGGCCGGCTATTTTTCGAGGTCAGGTGCGGAGTCGCGCTGCCACCGTGTGTGCCCGGCCTGTATGGGTATAGGAAGGTTCTGTGTAACAATGTGTGTGCAGGACAGCGGTGCCGACGGCACCGTGAGGAGACTGCGTGAGGTCGGCGGTGACCGCCCCCCTCTACCCCCACCGTGATGCACCGTGCCAACCCCCCGAACACTATTATAATTAGCTGCACCGTGTACATGAGCGACCCCGCGGGTCTTCGCCTACTATGATGCTCTATCCGCTGGCTTTGGCAAACAACCGACTATTACTCGGACGTGATTGGTTGTGCGGCAAACCATTAAATTATGCAAAAACGTTATTTTTACTCTTGCATGTGGGTATATATGGTTCATACTTCCATGCACGGTAAAACGGTAACTGAAACAGAAACTGTCATTTCTGTAATTGAGGGAAAAGGCATGTTTCAATTATTTCCGAACAGTTAATGGCAATGACGAATAATTTCACAATCGTGAGTTTTTTCCTGTATTGGCGAATATATTCCTTACTTTCGAATATATTCGAAATATAGAGTAAATCATGGAATCATGGAATAAATTCATATTTCTCTTAATACTGTAATAACATTTTAGCATGTACATTTAAAAATTTTATTTTCAGAAAGTTTTACATTGATAGTACATGTAATAAACGCGCTAGCAGCAGTAAAAGTTAACGTTAAAAGTTTAAACCTTTCTTTAATTGTCTCTAAAATCCCGGTTCCATACGTCCAATTAACAATTAACATTATAAAAAAAGCTATCTTGGGAACAAACAGGCGTAGATTTTTTTTAAATTACCATAAAAATAAATTCTATTTAATGTAGAAAGAGCGAATTCCCGAGCGGCGTTTGCCTGACGCTGGGACAATTTATTTATAACGCTGTTTTGCACATCCTACTTTTCGAAATTTTTCGTTTTCGATACGTTCCTTTGGATCAATTAGAATCTATATCTAAGATATTAACTTCTGAAATTAACATTTAGTAATTAAACAATTTATTAGCAAAATGCAAACGAAATTAATTAACAAATACCTGCAGCAACAATTTCAATTTAATCAGCCTTTAACACACATGTTGGTCACTGGATTGACTGGATCTTTTCTATAAACATCAACGTTCATCGCCTTTTGAAATAATATCGGGCAATTGTCGAAAAATGATTTTTACGCGTTCGACCTTTATTAGACCAGGCAATAAAGAACGATTTACCCCAAAATAACTAGATTTTCGCGGCCCGGTCCGATTTTAATACGGTTTTTTGCATTTCGTTTAGAAAGACCGTCGGAAAAAAGTCCCGCCTTTTTTATTATCCGGAAGTGGCGGAAATGCATCGCGGGTGCATAAAGTGCATCTAGAAGCGCATCGCATCCGAGAAACTTGCCAAAGTGCACGAAATATCGCAAAAATTGGTACTCGGGGGTTTTGGGGGGCGTTATGAAATCTAAAGTTCTCGAAATTACTGGGAAAATGTATCTCGGGGGTTTTCGCGGGTGCTGATTCCGAATCTGAGGGTGAAAAATATCCCCTGTGCTCGTGGAGGGGGAGATGGGGGGAGGGGGGTTATAATATTCATGGGATTATTTTTGGGATAGAAAATTATAACGTGTGATGTTAGTGATATATTTCGATTGGTATTTTATAGTTGTTTGATAAATGAGCCCGTGTTACAAATAATACAGAAGGAATGTGCATTGAATATATTTCAAGACAATATATATTTTAAAACAATAAATATACTTTTATACTTTAGAACAATAAATATATTTAAAAAAATTATCAGGCTTATCCTTTCTTTTTCCAACCGAACTTTTTAGTTTGAGTTTCGTTCCATGATTTTCTATTAATTTATATTCATAGAAGATTAACGCCCTTCCCCAAAATAATCAGAAATAGTTATCGGACGCATTTGGCAGGGTCAGATTAGGAATCGGCACCCGCAAAAACCCCCGAGATCCATTTTTCCAATCATTTCGGGAACTTTAGATTTCATACCCCCCCTGCCCCCCACCACACCCTCCACGGGCACAGGGGATATTTTTCACCCTCAGATTGGGAATCAGCACCCGCGAAAACCCCCGAGATCCATTTTCCCAGTCTTCATAACCCCCTCCACCACCACCGCCTCCTCCACGAGCACAGGATATATTTTTCACCCTCGAATTCGGAATCAGCACCCGCGAAAACCCCCGAGATCCATTTTTCTAGTCATTCGGAGAACCTTGCAATCCAAGTGCCCCACGGGCCCCCAGGCGGCCGGAAGGCGCCCCTCGGGGGGTCTGGTGGACTGGATATATGCATATTCGAATTCTGCGTCCCCCAAAACCCCCGAGTGCCAATTTTTGCGGTATTTCGTGCACATTGACAAGTTTCTTGGATGCGATGCACTTCTAGATGCACTTTATGCACCCGCGATGCATTTCTGCCACTTCTGGATAATAAAAAAGGTGGGACTTTTTTCCGACGGTCTTTCTGAACAAAATGCAAAAAACCGCATTAAAATCGGACCGGGCCGCTAAAATCTAGTTATTTTTCTCTTTATTGCCTGGTCTATTATTTTACAGTAAACAAAATGATGAAATATGACTTAAAATAAATAATTTAATTGCCTACAACTTAAAATATCTAATTTTCTGATAGGGCGTTCAAATTATCATGGGCAGTAAAAAAACGTGAAAAATACGTCATTTTGCCACTTAGCTTCATTTTTTTCGAGTTAGTTTTTTGATATTATCATTCTACATGCCCTTCACAGTCATGAAGTGTAATAAAATGTCTACCAATTTTTTTCACGTCCAACCGATTGGGATAATAAAGAAGTACAACACTGTGATTCGTTAGGTAAATAGCATTTTAATGTGATTCCATGTTATACAAATTTTTTAGAAATGCATTTTAATTTCGTGTTTCATATTACTATACTAGGTGAGTCTAGAAATCAGTTACTTTTGATCAGCAACAGTGCAGATTATAATTTTATATTGAAAGAAAACGATATGTGTACCAATGTTTAGCTTGCATACATTATTTAGATTTACCTTACCTATTGGTGTCCTCATTTTCTTCTTTACACCATCAGCTGTCAGATTAGACAACAACGACGCAGAATGCTTCTGCTGTAGAAAATTGTTGTTCCGAAATTCAGTAGAAATAAACTAGACCTAATGTTTAGTAGAAGTGCTGATAAATAATAGAAAATTTGTGGCTTGTAGATATTTTCTTCGCTTCGAAATAGTTCTATTTTTTTAACCAATTTGGGGATTAAATTTCATATGAGGATATGGATGTCCCTTATGCAACCTAAGATTTTTCGAAATTTATTAAATATTTTTACTTAATATTGACTATTTTGACAAACTTAAGTACTAATTTTTCGTTTAGTGCTGATGAACATTTTAATAATTTCATATATTGCACTATTTACATGAAATTATTTATTTGCTTCATGTTTTTGTTTTATTCTTTTTTCATTGGATATTTTCCATACCTGTGAAAAAATTTCTAAAATTAATGTAATAAAGAATCTCTCAAGGATTATTTCATGAAAACAGTTTTGCCTAGCAAATAAAAATTGCATATTACTAGGTATATATCGTGCATTTCAAAAAGTTACTGATGTTTTGAAAATCAATATATTTTCGTCTTTAAACTGAGCATAACTGTTCACATTTAATTATTTTTGTTAGATCAAATCTGTTTGGTTTCAGCCGATATCCTTTGATATTTGTTATTTTATTTCTTCCTTTTTAGTACTTGTAGCCAACAATGATCCAATTTCACAGAGTAAATCGAGTCATTTTAAATACTTTACCGTTTAACAAAATAATCTGGGTCTCTTTTAATTTTCTTCTTAGGGCGTTATTTTTCTTCTCCAAAATTTTGAACGAACCCCAATTAATTATAAATCGTTATTATATATTATATTTTAATTTCGAATCATCGTATTAATATAAAGAAAGGTTTAACTAAATGTTTGTATAGCCAAATTGATTTCTTGAGAAAATACAATTTTTAATAACGAATGGAAGTAATAAAAAACGTACCAAATACAATCAATAATCTGATCATTTTGATGAGAGCTTTTAAGAATATTGAAACTAAAACAATTTCTGTTAGACAACACAGGGAAGTTATAAGCACAATAGAAATTTCGTATATTCTTGTAATATAGGAAAAATTAAGGATAATAGGTAACAAATTTAACATTATAATAGTTTTTCGGGCAACTAATTCTTTACCGAATTTATTATCAAAGACGCGCCTGAGTAATGATTTCTAAAATTAAAAAAATGCCTTTGTAGCATATCTTGTAAATACAATGAATGTCATATTGGAGAGATCTCCCGATCTGTAAAAAAATTGAATACCTAGATGAGCGCAAAGATTACATTGAGAAATCAAAAATTTGTAATCACGCTTGGGAGAACGACCATAATTCAACGGAGTTGGGATACAATTTTAGAGAAGGAAAATACTACCATTAAAACAAAATTAAAAGATACCGCCATTCAAATTACTTTAAGATCTTGTATCCTTGTTAAATATCTACTAAATGATGATGTAAATAGTAATAGAATAAATATCATATATCTACAATCATGGAACTTGTATACACTATATACACTTATAGTGATGTGTGTTTTGCGTTTGTCTGTGTGAGATTTGTTGCTAGACAAAACTATTTTCATAAAATAACCCTTGACTGTCTTTTTGGCGTAGGAGTTTATTTCATTGATTTATGAAAATATTCTAAAAAGAAACATTCATATTTAATCCAATTAGACATAAATTTGAGTGAAAGTGAAACTGAGAAGTATTTTCATTAGCTTACGACATTGATAGTCGTCCTTATCAAATTCCATCACCTCGTTGCTAGATCATCTGCTTTTAAGGCAAATTCAAAATTGCAGGATAACTTTCGTGAATGTTGTGTAAGTAAGTACAATGACTAAAGCCACATTTTTGAGTCTCTATTAAAATTCAGTTAATTCAATTGGTGCACAATGTATGTGTTCACAATATATCTTCTATCATGTTCCTTTTTGTAAAAGTTAAAGCGCTTTTGCAATTAG